TTTAATTTTAATGAGAATTTCTGAATTTCATGTTGATTTTTCATCGGACGAAATTTCGAGAAAAACAATTTTCCAATATTTAATATAATAAACGTTTTAATAAAATTTCAAGTTAATATTAAAAAAAAAAAAAAAAAAAACAATTGACTTAAATGCAAGCTAAAAGTGACAATTTAATTTTTAATTATAAAATTAAATCTTAATAAACTTTTCAATTTCAGCGACTTATAACTAAAAATTGATATTTTAATAAACTCGGCAATAATTATAAGATAGTGAAAATACCTGTCGTTACGAAATTAAATATTTGCGGGGCACCCCGTATGTGTTCTCATTTAAATCCATTTAATGCCGCTAGGAGCTCGTTAGTGGCGCGGTTTTGCCGGGATGCTGTGCTTTTCACGATGAAATATAGATCGTAAGCGATAACGCGGCAATGCCAATTGCCGTCATAATTAGCGTTATTACTGCGAGATAGAGACATTAAGATTTTCTGAAATAGAGCTGTCACTGGACATAGTTGCTGTCGCTAACGTTACTAAACCATAATGGCCATATATCATCTGTTCTTCATAAACCTAATTTCCGCTCGTGTCACGCGTAATTTCCTCTACTTTTTTAAAAGCTTCCCGATCTCTAATTAGGGGTAAACGATCAATCATTCGGTCGCGAAGTAAATTAGAAAAGGAGCTCCTTAATGAGATATGTATCACGAACTTGTTTATTGACTCGACTTTCGTAATGTAATCCTTTTACTTAATTATTTTTTTCACTTTAATCGTAATGTATGTAAAAATTCTTCGAATTTTGTATAATATATTCTTCAATATTAAACAAAATCATAGAGAATTTTCGATCACAAAATGAAGAAATAAATCTTATCTTAAAAATGATATTTACATCTCATTTTGACAATTCCATAATCGCACCCCTCATTAATCAGTTCTTTTAATCTCTTACAAAACACATAATTCAGCCCTAAAATCGACAAGCTTTTTATTAATATAATCGTGTGTGAAAAAAAAATGTCCAAGACATCCAACGCGTTAATATCTACCATTGATATACTCAAATTGATCTATCTCGTTAAATGTCGCGACTAAACGCGGCACTAAGAAGTGTTCCAGTCATGCGTCTCGGGGTTAAGGAAAGGGCGTGCTGTCCGCATTGATTTACGCGGAGGAGGATAGTAAACGAGAGAACGAGAGGAGAGCCGCGCCGGGATCGCGCTGCGAGAGACGAGGAGAGAAGGGATGAGGGAGGAAAGACCAGGAGGACCACACCGTAGAATCCGAAGCCACGTGATCGGAATAGTCGATTCCATCCTCCGCCTTTCGGAGGAACCTTTCCGCCGCCGCGACTCCCACCCCCGATTCTCACTCTCTCTCTCTCTCTCTTCCATCGCCATTCGTCGTCGCCACCCACGCCCGGTCGCGTGGATACGTGGTCGAACCGCCGCGAGGACACCGTATAATTATCGGATGGCAGGTAACTCGAACGCTCTCGCTCGGTTTTAATTGGCCAATTATCGTGGCGCGAATAGATGGTGCCGCCGGTCCAGATAGGCGTGAAACTTTTGGGGTGGCCTGCTCACCGAGCGACACAACGCGACTTTCTGTGACGAATATCTCTTGGCAGGAGGGTGCCGACGTGCGCGCGGATCAGGAAGAGAGAGAGAGACCATGCATGGGCATCGAGAAGAGAAGATCGAGGGCCGCTCGCGTGTGTGCACGCCACAACGAGTATACACACTCTCACCCTCGTACGTGTGCATCCGTGTATCGGACGGGGTAGAATCGGGATCAGAATCGGGAGCACGAACGGGCGCAAATTGGTCACGGCTGGTCTGTCCGATCTCCCCCACCTTCGACGGATCCATCCCTTCCTTCCTTCTCTCATCCCTCGCTCGCCCACTCGATCGCTCTATCAACCCCCTCTCGTCGTCGCGCTCGCCTCGTCGTGCTTCACGTCTATCTCGCCAACTAGCTTAACCTCCCGACTCGCGTACCGTTTCGGAACTATTAGGGACTCCCCGCCTGAACCCACTCGTGTCACTTTGGCAGGTAGAGTAATCCACCGGAGCACGAAGCTCACCTGCGCTCACCCCGTATAATGACACCGCTTCATCCCGGTCCTCGATGATCAACAATAGGATCTTCATTGAGGACGCTTAATCAATACGCGAGATTCAGCCACGGTGGTTTTGTATGTTACGTTTATCGCCTCGGACATATAGAGACGCGTTTCGAGAGTACCTGGGTGGCGTGCACTGGTGCGCGTTACATTAGCGTCCTGAATTATTAATTAAGTTTCGGCGTACTACAAATCGAGTGGCAAACAGTGCATGCATACGGAATGCACCGCAAATGACCCCGATTCATCGTACGTGATGCCGGCCAAGTACATTAATTTTTTATCTTCCACGGTAATTAAAATATTGATTCGCAGTAATGTTCGCGCTACTAGAACATCGAGTTCTCTCGTTAAAGACGTTTAACAACGTTTCGTTTCTTTAAATCAAAATTATTCGTTATCAAATTGGGAGAAGCTGTTTCTCCGATTAGCGTTAATCGCGGCAAATGTCTTGTCCGATGAACATTTGGGGACATTAAGGAGAGGAGACGAACAAAGAGTTGGTGATTGACCGACGTCGACTAAATGTCGACCCTAAGTGACATGAGTAAAACCATGCTCATTTGTTCGCGGATAATTGACATTAAGTTTAAAATGACGTTTCCAAGAACGCGAAGGCGATATTTTTGTAGACGGAGGGAGCTGTGAATTTATTACGTTCGTCCGTTCATGTGACAAGATGGAACGAGGAGCGCGTACTTGTACGATTACCTTCTCTCGACTCGAGAGTGCAAAGGGTGTTCCAAAATTGTCTCGGGTTTTTTCCAGCTGAGGAATTTGATTTAAAGTCATCGTAAATTCTCGTATCAAAAATTTCGAGTTAATTGGCTCGGATGAATTAATATTCAAACAATAATTTTTAAAAATTTTGCCTCGATATAATCTTCACTTTTGAGAATAACATTTTCTCGAATTATTTTTAATACTAAACTATCGTGAGGGAAAAAATTTTTTCTTTCTTGAAAAAAAAAAATTACTTTAAATCTAAAATTTCAAGAATACATACATAAATGAGAAAAGTGTAATAGCTGTTCTGAAAACACCCGTATGTGCACAGGACAAGCTGCGGTGCATTATATAATATACGCGGCTAACAAAACGGTTGGACTTGATGAATAAAAGGTCTATTATCGCATTAACTACGGCGCCCGCGATAATTAGTTTTCGCGAAACACGATAACACACTGCGAATACCTTCTCGCGCGGCTCAGCTACCGCGCCGTTACCTCGCTCGAGCGCTAACCAAATAATGAGGTGGTACAATTGAGGATTAGTCGAGCCACGCTTAATCCAATTTGTCATCTAATGCGATCATCGTTACGGTTATAATTTCACAGAACAAAGTATTCGCGTCTGTGCGAGTAAGTGCGCGCGCACGCAACACGTATTAATTCCTCGTCATCTAGAAAACTATTTTAATCGCATTTGTATATTAATTACTCCGATAAAATTTAGTCACTTCCGCTCGCTAGAAGCTCCGCGTGTCACGTCAATCGGTCATTTAATCTTTAAATACAGCACCGAACAATACACGCAATGACAATCAAAATTGTCAAAACACTCCACAATCTTTTGGCAAAAACGTATGTATCTTTCCAATATCTCGCCAATTTCCTGGAAAGAATCGATCACTGCTACACAATAGCGGTATCAGTTTCGCCAAACAATTGGTCTCCCGAGTTAAATCGATGATGATCGGGAAATCGGCGGGGAAAAGAGGAAGAGGACAGAGATAAAGGGAGAGGGGTGTCGGAGTCAAACTAGGAGAACCGAAGATGATGGAGAAACCCATGTTGTTCATAACAAGAGAGAAAGAGAGAGATCAGTATTGCAGACGCATCAGCCGGTTACGTTCGATTGGCTGGCAGGGCGGTAGGCCAGCAATTACCTAAATGGTCGGGTAAACAATATCCGTACGCCGAGTTAAGAGCGGAGCAGCAATATCAGAGCACCAGCATCAGCTCTCGTATCAGTCTGTCCGTCGGTCGGTCGGTCGTCCGGCCGTTGTGTTGGTTCTGATTTGATCGCCAGTACCATCACCACCTCACTCCCGGTTCGCGAGAGAGAGAAAATACTTGTGTGTGTATAAGTATATATATATATATGTATATGCGCGCCCCTGTGTCGCGTATACCCACCACGATTATACCTCTCCATCCTCTATGTACAGGGAGAGAGATCGCTATACACAAACCCCGTTGAAGAGGCCGCGATGCGCCGCCCTTCACCGCCGACACCACCACCGACGATCATCGCCAAACCCACCGAGCGTTTTGCGATCGCGTATATACATGCGTCGAGCATGCAATTCCTCTACACGCGTTTTCCTTCCTTCCTACCTACCTCGGAAACGATATCGCGGACACGGAAGGAGAGACGTCTCTCTCTTTCTCTCTGTAGTGGTTAAATCAAAGACAAACCACTTTAGCCGGTCCGATCGCGGAAGAGGGCGGGGAGTCGCAGGGGGATGACGAGGGGATGATAGCGGAAGTCGGCGTACCCGCGTGTACATATCCGAGTATCTGGCGAAAGCTCCGCACGCGGCACGTCCGCGTGTTCGTGCCTCGTCCATTCAGGCCGCGGCAGTCAGTCCTGTGTGTACGTTAACCGTCTCGGGGTTGTGTGCGGATATCTATATATATATATATATGCATGCGTGCACGTTTACGCGCGCGGAACCAACACAGAGACGCGCTTTCTGCCGCGATGCGGTTACGAAGCGTGTTTAAAGCACGTGTGTGCGCGCAACCCTCGACGGGGAGAGTCATCCGGTACGCCCATTGGCGGCCGAAGGCAGCTTCGAGCGGGGGTTAACCACGCCTAGCCGAGGCGGAACAAACCCCCTCGCTTTTGCCGTTCCACTCGGACTCACGGTGCCACCGCTCTCTTCCTCGGCGCTAATAATACGCCGATATACCACCGATTCTGCCACCATGGCTCTACGCGAGACTCCCGAGAGTAGCTGCCACGGTACGCGCGCCGCGACCAAAGACCAAAGACATTGCTAATCGCCCGCCCATGCCGCGAAGGATAATTCGAAATCCGCTGTTCGACGCGAGGCCTCGACCGGGAGTTCGAGCTTAGTCGTGAGAAAAGTGCGGGTGCGACATCGATAGTGTCGAACGTGTCACGTCAAAACAGTGACATTCGGGAAAGGGAAGTGTTAACGCGATGGATCTGCATTGACGCGAAAGCGATCGGAAACGATATCCCAGAGGGTCTTGAGAAAACAATCGCTTCTGCGAGCGAGGATGAAGAGGCGCGGGATCAGGTAAAGGAAGAGCTCGCCCTCTTACTAGCGGGTAATGTGGAGAATGCAGGAAGGCAGGACCGTGTCGCCTCTAGGACCGGTCGTCCTGTCGCGGGAGGAGGCCGACATGCGTGCGAGTCTATCACTGCCGCCGCAGCAGAGGAAGCCCGTCCTACTCGTGCATACCGGCGAGTCCTTCCCGAGATACGACGGCATGCGACAGCAACAACAGTCACCGCCGAGCTCGCCGATCCTGCGATCCGTCGACAAGGATCAGTACCACGAACTGGAGCAAGGTATTAGGGAAAAGAGGCCAAACGATATCGAGGAGACGGAGGAGCAGGAGGACGAGGAGGAGGACGACGTCGAGGACGAGCGAAACACCCCGGCCGGAAGAAACGTCATCGTGGACGACGAGGACGACGAGGACCAGGACGAGGAGGAGGAGGAGGAAGAGGAGGAGGACGATCGTCGATCCGAGAGACATCGAAACGGCAACTACCACGAAGACGGTGACATCGAGGTCGACGTGTGTCGAGAGGACGTCGACGAGAGCAACCCCAGTAGTCCGGTGGATCTCACGGCGCCTTCGTCGAGAGGCGTCGCGTCCGAGCAGTTCGTACATCCGTTCGCCAATCGTGGGGTGCATCCTTTCACTTGTGTGCAAAGTGGTGGTGGGCCCGCCGGCCACGGAACGTCAGTGTATATATCCGGACATACCGCTACCGGCTCGACCGTCATGACGGTGTGCACTTCCGGTAACGTGGCGCGCACCACCACCGGCACGTCGACAGGTAGCAGCATCACCACGACCGCCACCAGCACGGTGCAGACCAACAACAAGCGGTGCCTCGCATTCTCCGTCGAGAATATCCTCGACCCGAACAAGTTTACCGGTGGCCGCGTCGTCCATAATCGCGTCCAGCATCGCCGTCACCGACGCGCCGGCAGCGTCCACGAAGGTGAATAAACAAATTATCTCTCTCTCTCGTCTTTCAAGAGGCTAATTTACGTTCTCGCGATTAGGAAGATCGGACAAATGGTCGCGGTTATCTCGGCGGATGAACTAAGAATAACGCCTGACGTTTTGTATCAACATTTCAGGATTTAATTGGCCGAACCGGAAGAGTCGCAAACTCGAAATCGTTCTTTCGGTCGAAAATTTATATCTCTTGGAATTTAACTGCAAAATTTATCGCGACCTCACATATTACGTACTGCCACGGGTATTTATATTTTTGCAAATTAAAAATATGTTATTGTTTTTGATATTTACATATAGCTCCTCATCTTTCTCATTATAATCGACATGATCGCGAAAATTTATTACATAATAGAAAAAAATAATTTTGAATATAGATGCGAGGAGATAAAATTATATAAATTGAAATTTTTATATTATTATCGTTGAAAAGAATTTCGTTTCTCCGAGCTCGTTATACTTGACACGTAATCGCGAATTAACCAGTTTACAATTTAAGACGAATGTTTACAGTACCTGGTGATATCCATTTAGTTGTTTACAGCCGAGGAAAGTCGATATATAATATTTCCCGCGCTGCTGTCGTCTTCTTTAAAGTTCCACTATATCTCGAGCGATATTTTTTCACGTCCGGCGTTCGTCCGACCGCATCTCAGTTCCCTTCATGCTTCGGTAGTCCTCTCTCTCTCTTCTTCCTCGTTCTAATTTTAGACGCTAGAAGGAGGACTTCTTCTCCGACGATCGTGCAATTTTGGGAGCTGTCGGGCTATTTGTGTGTACGACGATACACGAGGATTCCTGCAAAAGTGACAACGTAGGAATATTTTAACAACGATGTGAGAATGAAACTCTTCCAACGTCTCATTAATGTCATTTTGAATAACGCTAATACAATTACGAAACGACACGCGCACGAGCTATGGGATCATTTGCATATGAGAAAACTTAAGTACCTATAATAGTTATCAAAATAAATGCTATAGGTGCATATTTTTTTTACAAAATATTTATAAATTTTATATTATTAATATAGGAAAACGAATATAAAATAATATTTTGCAAAGACTTGATATTTTGGAAAAAGCTACAACTTTATCCCAGAATAGATTGAAAATCGCAGCAAATCTTCATACACATCTTCATATTTCACTTACACAGAACGATCAATCCAAGAAATTACTGGATCATCGGATTGCCGATACATATAAACAATGAAATCAATCCAAATTCCCGTCTTTTCGAACGTACCTTGAAAACGATAACGACGAAGACAATTTCTCGGTGGTGGATCGCGCGAGTTCGGTGACCGTTCGGATCCCAATTTCACAGCTGACTTTCGAATTTAATGGAGTCTGGCGGACAGACGCGGGAGAAGTGGTCCCGCAGACCGATAAGGGACGGAAGAAGCATCCCCGAAGAAGGGGTGAAGCGAGGCAGAAGCGGACGGTATTCGACGACGGTACGAGACGGGGGTGGGAGGGAGGGGGTGGACAAGGGAAGCGACCGGGCGGCGGCCTGTCGGAGCGTGACAAATTGCTCCGCTAATCTGCGTTAACCAGTCCTTGAACCCCGTCATCGTCGTCCCTTTATCCCGGTACGGGACACCGAGCGCTTGCGAAATCAGCGGATGGTCCGGTCGTCGGTTTTCCATCGGCGAGGACATTTTTACCGTCGATCGTGAGGAACGGGGCGACAAAGAGGGAGAGAGAGAGAGAGAGAGAAGGACGCGATGGATCGATCGCAGCCGTCGAAATCGAGATTACACGATTGTCGGCTCATCCATCTTACCAGGATGGTCGCTGCTTCCCATTAAAAGTGCATCAGGCCCGAGCCAATCCGTTTCGACTGCCGCCACCGGGATCACCCTCCCCTTCCACCCCCGCCGGCTCGGATCCGTCGACGGAATAATATCGTCGGTTGTTATGATAATCGCGCAGCATCGCGCCGTATCGCACCGCATCGCGCCAAGCCGCCCAGAAAATTGGCTCTTCTGCATCACAATGACTTCTCTCTCTCTCTCTCGCTCGCTCGCTCTCTCTCTCTTTTCCTCGTTGTCGCAGAACCCACGAAAGTCACCCCACCGAGTGTTCGTGATCCAGGCTCTTCCGCTAGATTTCGGCGAAATTTATAATTATCTTACATACGCCTCGGAAAAGCTCGAGATATCGCAGCTGCTACAGTTTCATTATCGAGAATGAAAGAATCTCTGTTTGGGTATAATGAACTTTGCACGAGCGGAATTAATTCTCCGCTTCTCCATAATTCTAATTTTAATCGGTAACCATTACTAATCTTGTCTTTGCGCTTATTTGATATTCCTATTATTATGCGTATACCGTTAGCTATAATTATATCCGTACAATTCAAGCGTCAGCTTGAGAGGATTATAAATACTATCATTAAGAATTTCCGTCGAGATAAATTGCGAACCCGCGATCCAGGAACGGTTAGGGACTTTGTTTATTGCGTATTTCCCGATTGTACACCACTTGTCGTTAAACACTGTCATTGTGTTTAATGAGGAAAAGCAAAACGAGATAAGTATTCCCGTGTCTGCTGCTTTGTCGCAGCACACCGCGATCGACTTTCCCCCCTTGTGTGCCCTTAACGTATCCCTCAGGGATACTCTCGACATGTATCCCCGATCGCTTCTCTCGCACAAAACCCGCCTGATCGTGGTTAATGAAGAAGATCTAAACGATACGAATGATCCTTCCGTCGCCTATAAAAACGCAATGACAGAAACGCGATCTGCAGTCGTTAATTTTCCGATGAGCTCAATTAATTTCACAGCTGTCACGCTAGGCGACGAAATGACATTGATAACGCTTCCCTTGAAAAAAAAAAAATGAGTCGATTACTCTTTGGATAAACTTGAGATGAAGTATTTTGCAATTATAATATTTAATATTTTTTTTTATCAAAAATAGCTTTTGTAATCATTTGACTAAAATTATTATCTCAAAGTCAATCCCAACATGATTAATTTCCATCTCTTGTTAAATATACGGATATAATAATTTTTGAATTATATTCAAGTTACTTGTTACGAGAAAAATTGAAATTCTATATCTCACGCTAAATGTAAAATATATATTGACATTAAGAACAAAAAGGGTAGAAAAAAGAGATTTTACTTTCGTAAAGTAACATTATTCAATACGTCTGACTTCATTAAAGACCGCGCAATCCTCTCTAAAGCGCGCGGACGAATGAAGAAGGAGGAACAATATAAATTACGCAATTCAATTGAACGCAATCAATCGGCATCGGCCAGGTATGTATATCTCGATGCGGAGACCGCGGCGTTATATGAGAACGTATAGAAGAAGTCCAGGCCAAACCGGTGGAACGGGAAGGAGAGATAGAGAGATGGGAAAGATAGCCGTTTGGCGGCCTGTACGACGGGGCAAGAACGATCGCGCGTTAACGAGATACAAATCCCATTACGGCGTAAACCTTCTCGATCCGTCGCCCCCTACGGACTTCCAACCCCCAAGCACTATGCTAGGCTGCTGCAGGCTATGGGCCACGAGCCACGCCAATTCGGATAAAGTCCCACTGTCTCCCTCTCGCTTTCTCTGTCTTGCCGACTCTCTCTCTCTCTCCAACCCCTTCTTTCTCTCTCGCTCTTACTCGCCTTCGGCGTCGACATATACGATCGCTTTTCGTTCTATATCTCTCTCTCTCTCTCTCTCTCTGGTTTTATTCGGCAAGCTATCCCCACTCGCGGTTCCCAGGGGCACCCCAACCCCCACGGACGAGAGAGCCAGGGAATATCTGTCCCCGGGACATCTGCGTGCTGATTGAATCTCCAATCTCCTCTCTCATTGAGCGAACGATTGGCCGTTCTTTCTCTCTTTCTCCGGTTCTCTCTCGCTCTGTCCCTCTCCGATTCACACCAGGATCGTTTCGTTCGCAGACACGATCGCTCGATCGGCCGCTATGCAACTCGACTCTCTTTCTCTCTCTCTCGCTCTTGCGAAAAGAGATAGCTCTTCTCGCGGTAAATCGTCTCGATCAAACGAAAATTTAGCCGAGTGTAGTTTGACAAATTAGTTTATGCAGTCATTAAACACGCGAATCCTTAACTCATTACTAGTAATTAACATTCGTTCCGCATAATTAAAACGTTCGACAATATACAATTATATGCAAATTCTATTTCTCGGTAGAGGCTTGCGATATGAAAATATTATATTACCTATGTGCTTTATTATCGTAATTTTTCTTACAGCTACATCCATTCGAGCGTTTGTGCGTAAAAAGTTTTTGGATTTTATTCTAAATTCAATTCTAGAAATACAGATTAAAGAAATGATTTCATGTATTATATGAATGAAACGAATCTCCAGTTCTGAAATTATACGGTGAAATCGCCTCGCGCGATGAGAAACACGACATCCAAGCCATAATTTTGTCCCCCGTATAATCAATCCTCGTCACCCGACACTGCGATCCCGTATCACCGCCTTCTCCCTCTTGGTGGTTTTGCCTTCCATCACAAAAGTGATCTCGTGATTATTATTTTCAGACGGCGACTCGCGGGGCGAATTCGCCTGCGGCAGCGGGCAAGAAGATGAGGAAGGTACACCGGACACCGTCATGGAAGAAATGGAAGAGGACATTGAGGAGGAGGACGAAGACGAGGACATCGAGATGCGGGTGGTGGATCAGGACTCCGAGAGCGTCGGACGGGAAAACGCAAGCGGCGGCGGCGGCGGAGCCAATACAACCACGACGAACTGCAAGAAGCGACAATCCTCGTCGTCGTCCACCTCGTCGAGCGGTGTCCAGGTACAAAATTGCCAAACCAGAATCAAAGCAGTCAAAACGGCACCGGAGGTGGCGGCGGCGGCGGCGGCAGCAGCAACGCCAGCGGAAAACCCAGAAGAGCGCGAACGGCCTTCACGTACGAGCAGCTGGTCAGGTTGGAGAACAAGTTCAAGACTACGAGATACCTGTCCGTGTGCGAGCGGCTGAATCTGGCGCTCGAACTCCAGCTGACCGAGACCCAGGTGAAGATCTGGTTCCAGAATCGACGGACCAAGTGGAAGAAGCAGAACCCAGGCCTGGACGTGAACAGTCCCACGGTGCCGACGACGCCGCCGCATCCGTCGCCGTACGCGCCCGCCTTCCTCTTCGCCGCGCATCCGCATCAGCACCCGTTGCCGCACTCGCACACGCACCCGCACCCGCACGCCCACGTACACCACCCGCCGCCGGTGCCGCCGCCGCCGCCCGGCTACTACCATCCGGCGGCCCCACCTTACCCGCCGACCGGACCGACCTTCTTCGGCCATCATCTGTCAGCGACTCCTGCTGCGACTGCGTCGGGACCGCCGCCGACCTCTACGCCTTCCTCCACCGGGTTGACCCTCGCGTCTCATCCGCATCCGCACACGCACCCGCACGCGTAGCGAACTCGCGGGCGACGATAGCTTGCGTCAGCGTCCTCGCCTTCGTAGTCCACGGCAGGGAAACGGCGGATATTCGTGTGAGTACTTCCGGCGAAAAGTACTAGGGAAGGAAGAAGGGTAGATATCGTTGCGCTTCACTTCCCGCTTTGTTGTTCCTCGGCAGTTGTTTTTTTTTTTTTAATCTTTAGAGGGTCGGACTATAGCAGTCGGAAACAAACTTGGAAATTTTACAGAGGATATGTGTGTAAAAATTTTTAATTTCAATGGAAAAATGCCGGCCCTCTAAAGGTTAATTAGTAAGAAGTAATGATCGTTCCCATGTGCGATGGACGAAAAAAAATTAGTTGGTTTAAAAATAATGGAAAATAACACAAGTCCATAATTCGACGACTGATTGGATATATTAATTTGGATATATTAAGACGGAAAAATACGCTTATTTAAATTTCATTCCTCTCGAAAAAACAATATTCATAAAAACAAATTCGTAGAAAAATAACGTACTTAGCATCTATTATTACGTACTATTAAATAATTTTAATTCAGAGGCTTGTGTTATTTTTCAGACGCAAACGATATACTATGATGACGATAAACAACGCACTGAAATTTTTTTGTTCGATGTTTAAAAATGCTGAAAACTAATTAAGTATCGAATCGGATGATGGGTGTAATGTTTTCGTTTGTCGGATCGGCAGCGCGTAGGCAGCCGCGATGTTATATTTTGCCTTCCCGTTGCGCACGTGAAACGACTCGATAGCATAATCGGTTTACGTAGGGTGACGTTCAAAAAACGAGCGCGTATCATTCCGGCACGATATACTGGCCAAACATTTAAATTCCATGCGTATTTTTCTCTCCCAACGTCGATCTTTAGACAATAGCGAAGAAGGAAAGACGGTTCTTTTTTTTTGCAAACGAACGCGCACTCGTCATCTGATAGATAACTCGACACTTGACGTAAAACGGAATGACATTATAATAGAATAAAGGGCACAGACAGAGTTTCATGAAAAAGTTTCGATTGCTCCTCTAATTTGCGCTTTTGCTCCTCGTTGCGAGCTTCGGGCGCGTCGTAAAAAAGATTGAACAGAGTCATAAACTATCGTAATACCTAGCCCGAAACCGGCGAGAAACGGTCCTTCGCCCAATAAAACGAGAATCTCGGTACTTTTCTCCATGTAAAAAGTGACACGAACACCCCGAGTCCTTGTCGTTTTCTCACCTTTGTAACATATTCCGTTCGTCGCCGCGTTTAAGCGACGGCGGAAACTCGTCTTAAAGGGAAGTAGATTTTATCAGAAAAAAAACGCTCTTAGCAAGTAAGGATGTATGTGTGCACGGATGGATGATGCGTTGTGAGAGATTGCGATTGTGGTGAAAAATTAGCGAGTAATGTTTCGTGTGCTGATCGCGCAAAAAACGATGATGCACACCCGGAACGTAGCGATCGTTCCTGTGTAAAATAAAAAAATCATACGTTACGCTCATAAAAAAAAAAAAAAAAAAAAAAAAAACACCTCCATCCAGTGTATATAGATACAATTAATCCCCGCTACACGCACACGTGCGACAAGAATAAAGATCGATTTTGCTTACCACACTCGAACTCGTCGTGTTGACGATATACAACAATATCTCGTATTGTTCCCCTTTCAGCGTTTGGTCGCGAGACAATTCGCTGCCGGGTGACATTACAAATTTCATTCCATCGGCTGTCTAATACTGTAATACCATTACGAGAAGTATTATTTAAGTATTGAAACCGGTGCGATGGTGTGAGTTTAATTTTGCTGTGTAAATACAAGAAATATACTTTACACGACACAGTTCTTACTAATCTTTCATTGCATTTCATACACAAAGAAAGCAAATGCAAAAATATATTTTTAGCGAATAAAAATATATTTTATTTTCGTATATGTATACAGGCTGTCCCAGAATTACCGTATCACACGTTAATGGGAGATTCTTGAGGCGATTTGGAGACGATTTTTCCTCAGCGAAAATGTCGAGAAAGATCATCATTTTTTTAATGTTCCCAATTTTTGAAATCACGTATCTTTGTAACTAAGCCTTAAATTAAAATTCTATTAAAGTAAACTTTACCTGAAATTAACTAAAAAATGTAGTTTTGTTAATAATTTATTTTTACAAGATTTAGTTTACAAAATAGCTTTTATTTTCAATCATTTATAACTCGAAAATTATTGGTGCCTGGACATTTTCGTTGAGAAAAAATCGTCTCCAAATAGCCTCAGGAATTCCCATTAACGTGTGATACGGTAATTCTAGGACACCCTGTATATAGAATCGAAAATTAATCTCATCTCCGATTTCGGTTTCAAATATTCTCGATCTCAATGTTTCATCACTATATATATATATATATATATATCGAATCAAAATCGATCTATCAGTCGCACAATTTTTCATTTCGCAATATTTTGATTCTTCCAATTTTTTTTAACTCAACGGGGAAAAGAGCCACAAGTTCAATCAAGTTCAACGCTGAAAGCCAATTGCCCCGTGTAACTCGAAAAATCTCGGAATCGGTGTCGTAATTGCTTTCTTTCCTACCTTCCCTCGACTCACGGCGAGCTTACGTTTTTCTTTATCAGGCTTTAATGAGCGGCGATCGCTCGTCTGTCGCCCTCGATAGTACGGCCCGTTTGATTTCGGGCATGAGAAAAAAATGACTGTCGTTTTTGCGAGAAGACAAGGGAGGGAAGAGGCCACGAAGAAAAGAGAGCAAGAAGACGCGCTAAGTGAACTGAGCCATTAGACGTTCGCTCTCTCTCTCTCTCTCTCTTGAGAGACGCAGGCAGCCTTCGCAAAACCAGCACCTACAGTCTTCTCCACGCGTAATTCCGACCGCATAGTGCCGCCTTGTTCCCGACTTCCAAAGGCAGCCACGTTCAATTGATGGAAAATTGCTCGCGCCTTGCTTTGATGCTTAAATTAGAAACTATCCGGCACAAGCTGCGCGACACGCGTCGTCGGCGATCTGACCGCGCGTCTATGCGTGCCTTAATTATGAATTGAAGGTAAAAGTAGCTCTTCGCATTAACGGAACAAACGGCTTTTAAACTTGCTAAATGCTGTTTAAATGCTCAAGCTAATCGCTGCCTCGACCAAAGGACGACTGGGACGAGTCTTTTTACAGAAATAGGTTTCCGTCTCTTATTATAATCAAGAAGGTAAGTACGCGCTTTTCATCATTGATATTCATTAAAAATTAAAAAAAATAATAATAACACTTGGTGATAAAAATGACTACTTTTGTTCGCACAAAAAAAAAGAATACTGTTACAAAAGGAACGCGTTAACTGCTCAACAACAAGAAACAAGTCTTATCCAGAGGGACAGAAAAGAATTTGTTCGTTCTTTGCTGTCTCCTTATCTCGACTCTTCTGACGGATCTTTCGTTGAAAATGACGGTGTTATCGAAGCAGGAGTCAGGAGAAAGTTAAATCGACGCGAACGGGAATACGAAAGGAGAGCTACGAGAGAAAAAAAGGATCCGTGGGGAGAGAAGATGATCCGAGGGCGCTCGAAAAGGTAGGAGTGGCTGTCGGTCGGTCGCCGGACGATTCTCTCGAATTAATTCTTAGGGGTGGATTTGGGAAAGGGGCCGCCGCCGCCTCTGAGGGGGTGTGAGTAGAACGAGTGGACCGTGAAATAACCAACCCCCGCGCGACACTCGCAACCCCCCACGTTTCGAGCATCGACAGTGGCGTAACTTCGTTATTAAGCTTCTGCGTGCTGTTGCGAGAGATTCTTTTTCCGAGAAACTCTCTCTCTTTCTCACTCCCCCTGTTTCCCCTTCTTCTCGCCACCGCAGGCGCAGGTGACGTAAGAAGCGCTTAATTAATTATAAACATCGCGCTCGTTACGTCGCCGAGCGTTATGGCTTCTAAATAGCTACGTCTGGCAAATTTATTTCCACCGCTTGTACGTCGTCGCGAAAATGATCTTAATCGGTCCTAATCTAACTATTAATTAACTCCGCTCTATGTTCAGTTTACGGAGATCTCTTAATTGTTGCTGCACAATTATTTCGAAATACTTGTGGAATGTCGCGCGGATAATCGCACAGTCGTATCTCGTACAATATGTAAAGTGTTGTCAACATCTGTATCGACTTTGCTATTTTCTTGATCTTCTAGATACATTGATATTTTTCGCAAAATTAAAATATCCTACAATATTTTTCGTACGTATAAATGCGACGCGGTATTTTTCCATCAAAAATAATTTAAAAATAATGTGAAAAACTTTTGTTATTCATATTGTCACAATTTCTAAAATATTCTACAAGAAATATATTTGTAAAAATTATAGATGTTAATATTTAGCAGATATTAGAATTCAATAGGTCGCGCAACATGATCGCGTCGCGAAGGAATAATTTGGCTCGAGCTGAGTAGTACGAACGTTGACGGGTTAAACAGAGCTATACGCGCTATGTTCTCGGGTTCGTGTAGGGATTACCCGCTTGAGGTCATGACGCCGCACGCACTGAGAGCAGCAAGGCACGCCACTGCAGTCACTCCGTTCCGGTTAAGCGTGTAATAGTTCAATAGCTGTCGCAGCCGTGTCTGCGAATACGCCGAGACACACTACTGCCGTTTCCCGCGCTCGTATAAGCGCGCATTTATGTGAGCCGTTTAATCGCGCATTACGCTCTGCGGATTTCTCCATACATCTCGTTTCCCCCTTGTCACCGTTAAAGCGAGGAATATCATCGCGCGAGATTAATTCCGATTTTTTTAGAAGCCGGATTACGCTAACCGACACTCGCACAGCATCGATAAATATTCAGGGGTATATTTTCAATATCGAAACTTGTGTCTTAATTTATGTCTTCTCCCGTATTAATCATTCCGTAATTTAATCCCGTGATAATTCTTGATTTTAATGGTTCTTCGTGGTTTTTCGTTCAACGTGTCTTATAGAAATGTCAAATTTGACAGCTACGTGTATATTCACGTGTTCTCTGTAATCAACGTTGTGCTTAGATGATTTAAAAATTATCTAGATAAAGATGAGATGAAAATATGTACATTCATCTTAAATAAGATGAAGATAATTTTGAATTTAAATATATCTAGATAAAAAGATAAAATTATATAGCGATTCATCTAGGTAATTTCCATAACATTATTTTTAAAACCGCTTATGTAAATACAGTTATAAAAAAATGTAAATTATAAAAAGGATATAAAAATATATTTATACTTTTTTTTGTAAGTTTGTACCGCTAAATTCTACTACTTAAATATTTTTACGACTCTAAAGCAAATTATCTGAATATTATTCTAGATAATTTAATAAAGATAACACTTTATATATACATTCCATTATCTATATAAAGATAGAATGACGTCAAAATTTCATCTAGATGATCATCTATATAATTTTATTTAGATAACAGCAAACACTGTCTGTAATATATAAAAAAATTGTAATGTCTATACTTTTTAATTATAAAATTCTGGAAATAATGCGAAATAATCCCATTTGAAGAAAAATTATTAAAATCTTAATACAATAATTTTTATATAATATTTATACACACGCATCTAAAATACACACACTTCTCTTAAGATCACCCTCCCTTTCGATTTTCACGCCGCGTTCATGCACTTTAGCTTAACCGGGAGATAAAAGCCGCTTCTTACCGGAACGCCTCGATACGTTTCCTTCCACAAGTATCCATAGTTAAATCGGATAGCGGGTCTCGTAAACGAACAAAAGCCTCGGCGGATCGATCGATCGGCTGTGAGCCGTTATCTTTCACGTCCGCGCTTCTCTCTTTCCTTGTTCAGTCCCTGTCAACTCTGTTTTCTGCCATCGCTACGTCGGAACGTCTCGATTGTTCTAGGTATTACGGTTACAATGTATGTATGCGCGCCAGGGGAGACCGACGATTATGAGCTCGCCAACTCGCTTTTTCGCGCGCCGTTAGTTTCCCTCGATCGATGAATGCGTCAATTTGCGATTCGATTTCGTCACGGTTACCGTATTAAATAGAACGTAGAGTTTAAACAAAATTTAAGCCTTATTTTTATATCAAAAAATATTTAGTCGATAAATAAAACGATGTCGCGATAAAAAAAAGGTTTGTTGAAAAAAATCGGCTTTAAAATTCTCCAAAACAATTTATAATATCTCAAGAGAAGGAAATAAATATAATTTGAAAAAATATATAACAAAATCGCGAATTCTCATATTTTCACGACAGTTATCGCTTTATTTAGAAAATTAGCATTTGATACGAGAAGGAAAGCTCTCTAAACATTCGGTATCATCCAAGTTTGTACGAGAAATATTGAAGCGACGATTCACTCAATTGTATTTCCAGCTTATTTTAATTATTCTTAACATTAATTATGCAATATCAATTAGCGCACGTCATTATCTGATTTTTTCCTTCATTATTTTCATTATATATCTATTATAATATTGATAAACGTAAAGTAAAAAAGGATACGCTATCTA